TTAGCCTGTACCTAACGTAAAATTGAATTACTTAATAACGTATTTCCTTGATGTATAAATTTTTATTTTTGACCTACATGTGTAAAATATAATTTGGCCTAACGATTTCAACTTGTTTTTTTTTTTTTTTTTTTTTTGTTTTAAAAAAAAAATTACATTTGAAAATTTGATTGATAATTTTTTAAAATAAATAAATAAAACAGAAAGTTTTGTAACCCTATTCACACCCTTGCCTACAAGCGAAATTCTTTTGTTTTTTTTTTTTTTTTTTTAATAACCTTGAAACAGTTTTTGTAATAAATTATTAAATTTAAGTGGGTTAACTTGAATGAAACGAAATTATTTTATGTACAAATAATTCTTTTTAAAAAAAAAATTTTTTTTTCTCAAATGTTTTCTAAAATTTAAAAACAAAAAAAGAAAGAAAAAACTTTTTTTTTCAGTTAACGTTTTTTTTTTTAGAAAAATCATAGAGTAAGAAAATTTTTATGAAATTTTAATTTTGTTTTTTTTCCCCACCGTAATTAATTATTATTATTTTATATGAGTATTTCAAACGAAAACAAATTACGAGAAATTGTTTTCTTTTTTTTTTTTGTTTAAATTTATGCAGTTGGCTGAAAATTATTTGAGATATTTATAACTTTTTTTTTTTTTTTTTTTGAATCCCCCCAGTCAAAAAAGTCGTAAAATATTTTTTACGTTTTTTTTTTTAGTTCGTAAATATGCCGCCAGGGAGGGGAAATTTTTTAAAAATTATTGTAACCGTTTTATTAATTAACTTTAATGACTTCCACTTACTATGAAAAAAAATTTTTTTTCTTTTAAACCACAATTTGATAATGATCCACCATTTTACGACACTTACCAAACCAAGTATTTGTTGTTAAAAGAACTTGAAAACGATTGGAAAGAAATTAATTCATTGATTTGGGTACGTGAATTTTATTATGAAAAATAATTAAGTTCACTTATAAAAAAAAATTCGAATTGAGGAATACGAATTATGTCAAATTTTTTTTTATTCAAATACTTTCTTTCGAAAAAGTTATATAATCAGTCGTTATTTTTTTTTAAAAACTAATAATCTTTTTACATTTTTATTTAATTTTGATTGCTTCACCATAAGTATATTCATTAAATAAATTGAAATTAACACATGAATGAAAAATTCCATAAACAAAATATTATCACGTTTACGAGGTTTTAGGGATGTTGACCAAATAAAAAAATTTTATTTTAAAATTATTATTATTTTTTGTTTAAATAATCAATTTTCTAACACTTAAATAATAATAATAAAAATGTATGGTAAATATTTTATAAACACGAACTCGGTGCCATTTAAAACAGGCTTTCATTTTCGGTTTCGATTTTAATTAGTTTTTCCTTTAAAAATTTGTTAAATATTTGTAATGTATTCACCATAATCAATTTTTTCAGTAAAAATATAAAAGGTAAGTTTGTTTTGTCAAATATTTTTAAATGAAAAAAATTCATTTTTATTTTGGAGGTCAGTTCTCTTTATATGTCTACAAATTATATATGGCGTTCTCTAATTTTTAAAAAAAAAAAAAAAGATTTTTTAAGTTGATAATGTATAATGTAGAATATTCAAATTTGAAAAATGGTTTTATTTATATATATATATTTTAAAAATCAATCAACATAATTTAAAAAAAAAAAGAAAGAAATTTAAATATTAGGCAAATCGTGTAATTCCGTTTCCGGTAAAAACTGAATACCATCGTCCTCTCTAAGGCCAACATTGTAACGTCATTGTTTGCTTGCAGCTATTCTAGTCTCATTAATTTCTGGGATCGTTTGGTGAACGTTTGTCGCAGCCATGTTTTTTCGTTTTAGTAGTTTTTTTTGTTAGTTTTTTTTTTGGTAAAATATTTCACAAGTTTTTTCAGTACATGAATAAATAGTAATTTTTTTTTATTTAACTTATATTTTTTTTTCATTAAAAAGAGTGCGTAAAAAATAAAAAATGCTTTCATTTTAAATGAATATTAATTTTTTTTTTTTTTTTTTTTTTCCGCCCTTGACGGATAAATAAACAATGAAATTATTATTTATACACAAAATTAATTTTGAGCAATATAAATTTTTCAATGGGCTTTTTCAAATGTAATATTAATATTTTATTATAAATTTTATGATAGGTTTTTAATTTATAAATTTAAATTTTTTAAAATTTATGTGAAGTTTCGGTTTTTTCGAGTTAAACGATTTAAGAAGTATGTCTGCATGAGGAAAACATTCAATTTATCCAAGCATTACCCTATTAAACGTTAATTTCTAGGTGGTAACATTATTAATGTATATTTATTTTAATTTTATTTTTTTAAATATTGTGCATTTGACTTTTGAAAATATATATAATCGTTTTTCTCATCGTTAATGTATTAATTGTGCAGGTTTGAATATTAATTTTAATTATCAAAAAAAAAAAAAAAAAAAAAAAAAATTCGAAATTTTTTAACATTGTAACAGTACGGATTTGGCGTTTGTTTTATATTCGTTTGTTTTTATTCTTTTATCTCAGTAAATAAAAAAAACTCATAAGTACTAACACACATAAAACATAATTTAATATTAATACAAATGTTTTTTTTAATCAAAATTAATTTAATTTTATGTTTAGTTTATGGTTTTACTGGAAAATATCTAATGAAATTCAATGTACTAGGGTGTATTTAGGGTGTACTTTCATAAATAATTTTAATTTTTATTCATAAATTTATTTTCCCAGGCAATATTTAGTTTCATTTAATTAATTATATTAAAATAATCTAGTTAAAATAATCTTTTATCGTTTTAAAAACAAAAATTTTGCCTTAGATCTGTATTCGTTTGAGAAATCTTCACATTAAAAAATATCGTTAGATGTATAACATTTTAGGTTTTTTGTTTGCTTATACTTAAACTAACAAATAAAAATATTAAATTTTCAAAAAGATTAATATTAATTTGTTTAAAAAATGAAAGCAATTTTTGTTATAATCATTCAGTATAATGATTAATGATTTTTGTTTACATTGGTTTTTTCGTTTTGTATCATTATTACTTTTTTTTTTTTTTTTTTCTGTGTCTAAAACTTAATAGCTGTTTAATGCAGCTGGATCATAATTTCACAAGTTTAAATTCTTTCATACATTTGCCAAGCTGTGGGGTACAGGTGCATTTTTTCTTCCTCAAGGGATGTTCTACCCTGTAAGTGATAATAGGAAATTTTTTTTTGTTAAAATTAATTAAAGCATGATGTAACATTTAATATATCATATTTCATTAATAAAGAATATGTAAAAAATGTTTCGTAAAAAAATGTTATTTTAAACTCGATTTAAATATTTGTTCAAAACGATTTCAGCGTTTGGGAGGTTGCCTTTTTGTGATGAAAAACAAAAAATAAATTATTCAATATGTTTTTTTCATGAATTTTTGTAAATTACAGCAAATGGTTCAAACTGGGGTAAACCCTTACACCACCTCTCAATTTACTCAAAATGGAGATACAATGCCTTTAAAGACTGATGCAGTAAAAGAGGGATCGAATGTAGGGTCATCTATTTCAACTGGGATTTCATCATTCACTTCAGCTACAATGACATCAAATGGAATAGAGCAACAGAATGTTAGCATAGTAAGTAAACATTTAAGTGATAAAATTTATTATAAAAAGATTTTTTTTTAATTTTTAAGTATTCCAAGCATTTATTTTATTATTCATAAACATATGAAATTATTAAACAGTAATTGGACACTGATTCGTAATATTTCCATTGTTTAAAAAAAGCTTAAAGTTACTTCTATTGTATTCGTTAAAAAAAAAAAAAACATATAATATGTTAATTTACAACTTATATTATTTTTTTATTGTTTTAAAAAACTTTTACTAATGTTTTAAAACCATTAATTAAAATTTTAGCAAACAGAACCTGAAAGTGATACAGCAGTTGTGTCACCTACGACAACACCATCAGTTACAACTCCAATTATAACCATTCCTGAGCCTCAAAAAAGTGTGGGGCAACCGAAAAGGCTCCACGTTTCAAATATTCCATTTCGATTTAGAGATCCAGATTTAAGAGCTATGTTTGGGGTAAGAAATTTTTTAACAATTTTAATTTTTTATTTGTCACATACTACTGTGAGTTAAGTAAAAATAAAAAAAAAAAAAAATTTGAATTTTCGAGTAAAATTTTACTTGGAAAATATTAAAAGAAATGACTCAAATTCTTATGTTTCACGATTTTTTTAGGTTAATTAATCCCTTTAATTTATAGGCAATTCTCCATATAATTATACAAAAATATTTCTTGAAAATTTTTTATGATGAAATCATTTATAAAATGCATTTTTTTTTGAAACTCACTTTTAATTCAATTTTTATTTAAAAAAAAAAAAAAGTTTTCATTATGTTCATTGAAAAAAAAATGAATGAATGAATGAATGAATTAAACTAATATTATTATTATATTTTTTCTTTTTTATAGCAATTTGGTCCCATTCTCGATGTCGAAATAATATTTAACGAAAGAGGATCTAAGGTAAATTTTTTTTCCTTTTTTTTTTTAGTTTTTCCTCAAGGAAATTGAATTTTACTTCTTGTACAACATAATGCGAATTATAACAAATTTTTTTTTCTTTTCTTTTTCTCCTTTAAATTAAGTAAAATGAGATAAATTAAATTTTTTTGCCATTTTATTTAATTTAAAGGAAATTTTAATTTAATTTACTTTTTTTTTTTTTTTTATTTTCTTAAAGAAGGTAATTCAATTTTCCACGTAAAAATAATCGTAAAAGAAAAATGAATACATTATGTACAAAAAAAAAAAAAAAAACTTGTATTAAATTTGTATGAAACGACATAATCATTAAATTTAAAAGAAAATTTATTATTATTATTTTTTAAAAAAATACTTTTGGTTTTTTTTTTTTTTTTTTTTTAAAAAATAATGTATTCATTTAAATCAAATAAAATTTTCCTCTGTGTAATTTTTTAATAAGAAAAAAAATGCTATTTAACGCTTGCCTTTTCCTTTATTTTCTTAAATTTTCTTAAATTTTTTACATAGAATTTTAATCGGTTTAACAACAACAAAAAAAACCTAAAATAATACCTGAGAAAAATTAAAAATAAATCTCTTGGTATAAAGTTTATAAAAAAAAAAATAATTAAATTTTTAACAAAGAAAAGAAAAGTTTTAACATTTTAATTATCATCATTTTATTATTAAGTTTTTATGCTCGTGTATATTCTCGTCGTTTAAATTTATACTTATTATTATTATTATTATTATTATTACTATTTATATATTTTGTTTTTTAAATTTAAAAAAAGAAAAAGGCAAGCGTTTATAAATTTTTACTTATAGGGGGAGGGATTCTAGTAAATTTAAGCTTGGCTAAAAAGACCCCCTTCTTATTATTATTATTATTTAAAAAAAAAAAAAAAAAATTGACTTGATTCGTTTTTTATTTATTTATGTGTTATTTTACCGTTAAAACGAAGGAATATTATGTTGCGTTCACTAGTAAAAAAAAAAAATAGTAACAATATTTTCACCATGCCAGAAATTGTTTTTTAAATGGAAATTATCAATTGAGTTTTTTCCCTTGTTTTAATAAAAACCTTGCCAAGCTTTGAATTTTCAAGCGATGAAATTTTCTTTTAACCAAAAAAAAAAAAAGAAATTGTTGTTTGTCATTCCTCCTCTTTTTTTTTACTCTTGCGTTTACCTAAATTTCAAATTTTTTTTTTTTTTTTTTTTTTAAATTTAGATTTTGACTTTTTTTTTGTATATTTCTTATTGTAACATCGACTATTTTTTAATATGAATTGTTGCTTTTATGTTTTTTTTTTTTTTATTTTCCGCTTTTATTGTCACATTTAAAATTTAAAGTTTTTTTAAGAAGTTGCCCGGCATTTTTTTTCTCTCTCTCTCTCTTACATACGTATACATATATATATATATACACAAACATATATTTGTTGTTTATGGCATCTTGATATGGGTTTTTGGCATA